GGTGGATTAAAAAAAGAAATGTCATGTGTTTTTTTTCCTCACCAAATTTCATGTATTTAGTGGCTTTAAGTTACTTGATGACTCTAGTGTGGCTTGGATAGACACATTTATGCAGTCTTTTCTTAACATTATTTTCATAAAACATCAAAATTAAATCTCAACCGTTGATGCATGAGAGAAGCTATTAGTCACTTACACGTGGCATTCCACTCGACCATCGACTTGTAGGCACCCCACCAAATGATTCATATATATACAAAACCAGTCGTCTTCCTTCTCAAGATTTACTGAATTGCCACTGTTTTTTTCGAGTTTCATTGCTCTCCGATCTCGGTGATATTATCTTCTCCGTCTGAAATTCTCGTCTGGTAGTGATTAACTGAGCTTATTACTCGGTGGCTTCGGTATGATTGTTCTTCTTTCTGTCTACATTTTTCTTACTGGTTTTGACTTAATCTTCGTTTTTTGAGAATCCGATTTGAAAAACTTGTACAGAATATGCCGGTGGTTTCTCTGGCTAAGGTTGCTGTTTCTCCGGCAAGAGATTTCACGGCTCGCGTTCCGTGCATCAATGGGAGACGACTCGTCGTCTCCAATCGTGTTTCATTCGGAAATTCGAGCCGCTCGAGTCGCATAGGCCTTTGCGTGAGAAGCGAATTGCAAAGCTCCCGTGTCCTTGGCTCCGCCACAGGTTTTGAAAATCCGACGTTTTGCTTTTGTTGCTATCTGGAAAAATTTGGTGATTGTGTTTTTGTAGATGTTGATTTTGCATTTTCGAATTCGTGATTTTAGATTTATCGCTGGATAATTCCGTGGAGAATGGTCACCTTCCTAAAGGAGATTCTTGGGCTGTACACAAATTCGGAGGAACTTGTGTTGGAAACTCCGAGAGGATCAAAAATGTTGCCGATGTCATAGTTAAGGATGACTCTGAGAGGAAGTTGGTGGTTGTTTCAGCAATGGCAAAGGTCACCGATATGATGTATGATCTCATTGACAGAGCTCAGTCTCGGGATGATTCCTACCTGTCTGCTTTGGATGGTGTTCTTGAAAAGCACCGAGCAACAGCTCTTGACTTGCTTGATGGAGACGAACTCGCCGCTTTCTTGGCTCGGTTGCATGATGATGTAAACAATCTCAAAGCAATGCTTCGTGCCATTTACATAGGTACTGTTCTTTTTCTCCCCTTGTCAATTATAAATGTATATTCTTTAGAGTAATTGAAGAACTGGAGTTGTGAACTCTTCTATTTCTGCAGCTGGTCATGCAACAGAATCTTTCTCAGACTTTGTTGTCGGTCATGGAGAGTTGTGGTCTGCTCAGATGTTAGCTGCTGTTGTGAGGAAGGTAGGAAAGTCCTATATGAAGTGCTGCGAAAAACTCCTAAAAAGGAGTGTACTAATTGTTCTGTTTTTTGTAACCTTTCTCAAATGCTTGTGTCTGTTTTGCTTATAGAGCGGATTGGACTGCACATGGATGGATGCAAGGGATGTGCTTGTCGTTAGTCCTACGAGCTCTAATCAAGTCGATCCTGACTTTGCGGAATCAGAAAAGAGACTGGAAAAATGGTTTTCTCTGAACTCGTCAAAGGTTATTGTCGCAACTGGATTCATAGCCAGTACACCGCAGAACATTCCAACGACTCTTAAGAGGGATGGGAGTGACTTCTCTGCAGCTATAATGGGTGCTCTGTTTAGATCTCACCAACTCACAATCTGGACAGATGTTGATGGTGTGTACAGTGCAGATCCAAGAAAAGGTATGTGGAAGCTTTGCAATTTGCAAGAGAAGGGCTAGTTCTTAAGCCATGACAGTGGTGTATTCTCAGTTTTTTTTTTTTTTTTTTTTTTTTTCGTTAGTAAGGCTAACAAATATGGTTATATGCAGTTAGTGAGGCTGTTATACTGAAAACTCTTTCTTATCAAGAGGCCTGGGAAATGGTAAATTTGCAACCTCTAAGACTCGTTCAATGCCTAAGTTTCCATAATCATTGTCTACACCCCTAACGTTCGTTTTCATGTGCCTGTGCAGTCTTACTTTGGGGCTAACGTTTTACATCCTCGGACCATCATTCCAGTGATGAAGTATGACATCCCAATTGTAATAAGGAATATTTTCAACCTCTCTGCCCCTGGAACAATGATATGTCGGCAGATTGAAGATGAAGATGGGTATAAATTAGACGCTCCTGTCAAAGGGTTTGCGACGATCGACAATTTGGCTCTTGTTAATGTAGAAGGGTGAGCTGCTTGTTGATATTTTGTTACACACTCAATTCTTATTGTGTTTCTTATACTAACATTTCATTCTCTTTGCAGAACTGGAATGGCTGGAGTTCCTGGTACTGCCAGTGACATTTTTTCTGCTGTCAAGGAAGTTGGAGCCAATGTGATTATGATCTCACAGGTTTTGGGATCATCTAGTTCAGCTTTCCGGTTTCTTACATCGGTTATGTTTCTCTTTGTCAATTTTGGGTTCTTAATCGTATTACATAAATGCAGGCTAGTAGTGAGCATTCTGTGTGCTTTGCTGTACCTGAGAAGGAAGTTAAAGCCGTTTCTGAAGCATTAAACTCACGTTTTCGTCAAGCTTTAACTGGTGGGCGCCTCTCCCAGGTACACATAATATCTTTGTGTTCTCAATATCAATTAGCGATTCTGTTACCTTCCATTGTCAATGAGCGCATGTCCAGCAGCCGTTTAGAAAAGAGCAGGAATCTTGTTTATGCATTGGCTATTTCGCTAAACCTGTGGTTTCATTGTTTTTTTTTTTTTTTTTTTCAGATAGAAATCATCCCTAATTGTAGCATATTAGCAGCAGTTGGCCAGAAAATGGCGAGCACTCCTGGCGTTTCTGCCACTTTTTTCAATGCGTTGGCCAAGGTAAATTTAAGAGCAGTATGTGCAAAGAAAAAAATTGGTGACGGTTCTATAATCCATTTCGTACCCTTTTCTGCTAAGAAGCTTTGTTGATACATTGCCGTGTCCCATATACCTGTAGGCCAATATCAACATCCGTGCTATAGCTCAAGGTTGCTCCGAGTTCAATATTACGGTCGTCATCAAGCGTGAAGATTGCATTAGGGCATTAAGAGCTGTGCACTCAAGATTTTACCTTACGAGAACCACTCTGGCAATGGGAATCGTAGGACCGGGTTTAATTGGTGGTACCTTACTTGATCAGATTAAAGATCAGGTGAGTAGCTGATGTTTATCTGTGAGATTATAGTAACATGCGTATCAAGGTTCAAGTTGATTCATCTTTCAAATTTCATTTCACAGGCTGCAGTGCTAAAAGAAGAGTTTAAAATTGACTTGCGTGTTATAGGAATCACTGGCTCAAGTAAAATGTTGCTGAGTGAATCGTAAGTTGACGAACTTGATAGAGTACTTTGTATGTGAACTACGCTACTGGTTTTTTCCTTACGCTTTCGCCATCTTTTTAGGGGAATCGACTTATCAAAATGGAGAGAACTTATGAAAGAAGAGGGAGAGTCGGCTAACATGGAGAAGTTCACTCACTATGTGAAGGGAAATCATTTCATTCCAAACTCTGTTATGGTCGATTGTACGGCTGAAGCTGATATCGCCAGCTGTTACTATGACTGGTTGCTGCGGGGAATTCACGTGGTCACCCCGAACAAGAAGGCTAACTCAGGACCTCTTGATCAGGTAAAGTATTTGATGGTTTCCTACAAATCTGTTCTTATTGAATATATATCCGTGAGATTCCATGATGCTAACAGTCTCCCCTGTGAATACAGTATCTAAAGATCAGAGATCTTCAAAGAAAATCGTACACACATTATTTCTATGAAGCAACCGTTGGAGCTGGTCTTCCAATTATCAGCACTCTACGTGGTCTCCTCGAAACAGGGGATAAAATACTGAAGATTGAGGGAATTTTCAGGTATCGCAGCAATTTATTAAGATAACGATACAAAAAATAAATGTGCTTGCTTTGCCGTCTCTGCACCTGCACACTAATTTTTTTGCTTTGATGCCTTGCTACAGTGGTACTCTAAGTTATCTTTTCAACAATTTTGTCGGCGCCAGAAGCTTCAGTGAAGTTGTAGCAGAAGCAAAGCAGGCAGGTTTCACAGAGCCAGATCCACGAGATGATCTATCTGGAACAGATGTCGCCAGAAAAGTAGGGTCTCTTGTCCTCATATCGAGTCAATGCACCTTGTGTTCGACCAATTGGTTGAATAATATGGAATCTGCTTGTATCTGCAGGTGACAATTCTTGCCAGAGAATCAGGATTAAAACTGGATCTTGACAGCCTTCCAGTTCAGAATCTTGTGCCAAAGCCCTTACAAGTAAAGTCTCCGTATATAATCATAAAATTAATTTCATCACCAATAACGTTAATCCTTTTAACATTTCTGTATTTTACTCCATTGTTGGTCATAGGCTTGTGCATCAGCAGAAGAGTTCATGCAAAAGCTACCTCAGTTTGATGAAGAATTGTCCAAACAAAGACAAGAAGCTGAAGCAGCAGGAGAGGTAAGTAGTGCCTCTCATTTCAAAACACCAAATGCACCAACTCGAAAAAAGAACTCATTCCAGATTGTGTTGGTGTCTGTTTTTAGGTCTTGAGATACGTAGGAGTCGTAGACGCGGTAGAGAAAAAGGGAACAGTCGAGCTGAAACGTTACAAGAAAGACCATCCGTTTGCGCAGCTCTCGGGAGCTGATAACATCATCGCTTTCACAACCACACGGTACAAAGAACAGCCTCTGATCGTTCGTGGACCTGGTGCTGGTGCTCAAGTCACAGCCGGTGGAATCTTCAACGACATTCTTCGCCTTGCATTTTATCTTGGTGCTCCGTCTTAAAGGCACACAATCGTTTCTTGTAGGATCTGTAATTTGTATTTCAGGGATTTTTTTATTCTTATAGATGAAATCAAAACATCATGGTAATAAAACATCTTAGCAACAAAATATTTAATAAAGGGCTTTTGGTTGGAAGATAAATATGGTATTATACAACACAAGCATTGGAATGTTGCCTTTTGGCTCTAATTTCATCTCCTTTCATGCGACTTTCTGACCCAACCGAAACAAAAAAATTTAGCTTCAGAAACATTTCTCAATCTACACTTTGGTCAAAAAATTGTTCTACAGTGTGAAGACTATAAACTAGGATCCAATGGGGTTGAACTTAAGGGCATTACTTGAGGATCTAATAATACTCATCAGGGTTATCTTTGCTTTGGATGAGAGGGACACCGTCTTCTCTCCATTTGATCCGCTCTTCGCAAATCGCAGCCACCACCTCGACATAAAGTTTGTGTTCCTGAGCCCAAAATGGAAACAAAAGAAGCAGCAAATGAAATCTTCTTCAACTGTGAAATGTGATGCATAAATGTATTCTTTGTAGTAGTACCTCATGAAGAACCCTTTTAGCCAATTCATCTGGTGTATCATTAGCAATCACTTGGACTACGCTTTGAGCAAGTATCCTCCCTGTGTCATACTCCTCATCGACAAAGTGAATTGTCGGACCTGAATACCTACAAAAAGGAAAAAACCATTTGGAACATTTTCTTGTGCATAAAAGAAAACAAAAATGTATGAGCTAGCTAGCGAGTTTACCTAGCTCCTGATGCTAGAACAGCTTTATGCACTCTCATACCATAAAGCCCTTTGCCTCCAAAAGCCGGAAGAAGCGCAGGATGGATGTTTAGAATCCGTTTAGGAAAAGCTTGGACCAGCTCTACCGGTATAAGTTTCAAATATCCAGCCAGAAGAACAAAGTCTACACCATACTTCCTGTTCATTAAACGAATGTTTTTGAGTTTCAACAAAGTAAGTAGCACGGTTCACTTCAAGGACAAAGATACAATGGAGAGAGGTTGCAACCTAAGAACATCCACGAGCTCTTCCGGAGAGAGTCCATCGGATGATGACTCTCGTTGGGGTTTTGGGAATACTAAAACAGGAATTCCATTACTTCTTGCATACTCAGCACCTCCACAATCTGAATATAAACAAGTATATTGCAGTGTTCTAACACAAATCAAAACTCTGAATCGCTGCACATTAAACAAAAGAGACCTATTCCTTCCAAATCAATCAAAACTAGACTTCAAACTTAGCCGTGAGATCATTGATTCAACAGAAACATCAAAGAGAGCACTAGATATAACAAGAAGAAGTGACCTATTTCAATTCTTACATTCAACAAAGATTCAAACAATGAGATCTTCTGATTCTTAAACATCAAAGACACCACTAAAATTACAAGAACCAAATTTTACGAAGGAGAAAGGCAATACCATTTTTGTTAGTGACCAGCAAAACAACATCTCCTTTAACTGAACCACCACTACATCCCTCATGAATCTTCTTGAAATTCGAACCACCTCCAGATACAAACACAGCAAGCTTCTTCCTCTTTCTTGCTTCGTCTCTCGAACCATCGAGCTCCGCTACCTTTGGAGCAAACGAAGCAGCTCTTACAATCGGTCCGATCCTCATAGCGAATCGGTCTACAAGAATTCGATAGGAGAAGGAGAGAGCATTCCGGGAAGGCGATAACGGAGCAATCGAGGTTTTCCGCGACGGATTCGCCGGGAAAGTTAATTGACTAGAGAACAAAACCCGTGATGCCATTGTGAAAGAAACCAAAAAAGTCCGACGGTGTAATCGGCGGAGAGTCGGAGTGTTTTTTTTTTGGTCGGGACAGGTCTCCGACACTGGTAAGTTTTTTAAGTTTTGCTCTAGAAAAAAGGTTTTATTAGAGAACACCGTGCCGTCTCAGTCTAACTCTTCTCTCTTGCGTGCCGTTTTAACTTACAGAAGAACATCCTTAATATAGATTAGCAACGGATTAAAAGAGAATCAAGGGTGTATTGAATCAAATATTTGTAAGAAATTATGATTATTTTTTATTAAAATTTATTTGGATCTCACCTGAAGTCATGAAATTTAAATACATAGTTTTCTGTTCGGAAAAAAAAAACTTTCTTGACTAACCTATTTTTATCCCAACATTAATAAAAAAATAACCCATATTCAACACCATTGAGGTTATTGGTTTATGTATTTTAATATAATAGATTTGGAAATCCAAACTAAATCCAGTGTTATTGGTTCTATGAATTTAATTTTCTTTTTCAAATCACATATTATTCATTTTTTACGGATTTATTTATGGATTTGATTTCAAAGAATATTTTAGTGGATTTGGATGAATTTTCATATTAAAAATACAAGTATTCAAATATGAGGTATAACCTTCGGATTTGCATGGATTTGCAAAACCAAGATTATATCTAAATTCTATACAGATTTATAAACCAATTAAAATATATAAACAAATACAGCCCTCTTTGGATAAAAGAAATCACCAATTGAAATCACTTAAATTGCACCCTAAAAGAAAAACCGGTTCTTCTCTACTGAAAACGGAAGTTATAACCTATTTACTTGGGTATTTTCGGCGATCAAGTCTCGTTTAGTCATTCCACAGGGGGTGTTAGGGAAGTTGTTTAGGTTAATTTGTCTTCTTGGATGGATGATATTTCTTAGATTTGCTGAAGATGAAAAGAGGAGAAAGCTTGGAACCCATCCCAACTGATCTCATCATCGAGATTTTCTCAAGATCGCCCACTAAATCAGTTGCTAGGTTTCGTAGCCTCTCGAAACAATGGTCTTCCATACTTAGCCGTTCACATTTCACCGAGTTGTTTCTAACTAGGTCTTGGACACGTCCACGTCTCTTATTTGCGGTCCAACGATCCAATGTGTGGCTCTTCTACTTGTCACCTCAGCCTCAGAATCCATATGATCACAAGTCTTCGTCTCTTATACTAGCCGCCGATTTTCATATCAAGTTCCATCGATACAATATGTGGATGGATACTAGTAGCATTAGCCGATCTTCATGCAGCTATGCATCTGGTTTGGTTTGTTTCTCAGGTATGTGGATCTCACTGGAGGATGACTGTCCTGTGCCTGTGATATGTAACCCTAACACGGGACAGTATGCAACCTTACCTAAAATAAGAACGTACGGATCAACGTCGTATAGCTTTTTAGGGTTTGATCCTGTTTACAAGCAGTTCAAGGTAATGTCCATTGCTTATCGTCCAAGACATGAAAGGGTTGATCATAGAATTCTGACATTAGGTGGAAATATGAGATGGAGAAAGATCAATTGTCGCTTATATCATGTGCCTTTGTATCAAGATATTTGCATCAATGGGGGTTTTGTACTACTTAGCTATGGATATTTATCATGTGATGAGAGTTGTTTGCTTTGATGTTAGGTCTGAGATATTCAAATTTATTGACGCAGCAGAATTCTACCGTGATTGGTACATTGAATTTATAAACTATAAGGGTAAATTAGGTGTGATTAGTTGGAAGTTTGGTAAACCTGGTACCACTGAGTTGCGTCTGTGGGTTCTAGAGGATGTTGAGAAACATGAATGGTCGAAATATGTCTACATTTTGCCTAAGAACGCACCCATTGATTCCAAAAATGTTAACGTCGCTGGAGTAACAACTACGGGTGAAATTGTTCTGTGGATAAGATATGCATCTAAACGGTTTTATGTTTTCTACTTCAATCCAGAAAGGAGTATTTACCAAAGTGTTGAAATCCAAGGTTTTGGAGAATCATATGAAAAGTCTAACGGTCACATAGTGTGCGTCTTTGTTGACCATGTAGAGGATCTAAATGTTAGCGATGGAAAACTATTCAAGTCAAGCATCTCTGCTCCATATGTGAAGAACAAGAGAAGCCTGAATAACATTACGAAAAGGCCAAAACCAAAACAAGAGGTAAGAGAAAGGGACAGGTACATGAGGTATGACAATGGTGTGAGTAGGGAGAAGAAACACAAAGAGAGAAATGAAAGTATGAAACAGAAGAAGAAGAAGCCGTGAAGAGATGAGAGATAGAGAGTGGCGTTTGGAGAATAGAAAAGATAGGGACGATGATTGGAGTGATAAGGGAAAGAGAAGAGCGAGAGAGAGAAAATGAGAGAAGAGATTGGTGCAAGCAATGTGCTCTTATCTATGTTTTGGTAATGATATGAATACATACGAAACCTTTTGCAGAGATGTAAGTAACTTTTTTTACACTCTTTTTTTATCAATAAAGTTTTAGTTTTATATCTTATCCCTTCCACGTACGGTAATGAATACAAACAGCGATTGTAGAGTTTATATCATGTATACATATAGATACTGTGTTAAAAGAAAAAGAAGATTCTTGACAAGGAAAAAAAATTAAGCACTAAAAGACTTTCTTGCAGTGTACGTCAGAAAGAAAGAAAACCAGAAGATAGAAGCAGAGATACATTGTGACAATTATGAGCCAATCTCTCACTTGAACGAGCATTTTTTCAACTTTCTTATATAAAGATTTGATCCAGAGGATAGTACCTAGCCACGGTGCAAATTAGGCATGCCTTTGTTTGTCTTAAACTCTTGTTCGAAAAAATGATTGCTTTATGCCATGTATTTTGATGAACAGACTTAACAGTTAGTAATTTTTTTTTTTTTTTTGGGGATCAGAATGAACTAGTATAAACATAATTTATACAGTATAAAGTAGTAGGATCATATTTTTGCTACCATAGTCTCCTCTCTTAGATTTCGTATGTGTCATGTTTGATTAACCTTGTTAATAAATCCAATCTAGCATTGAATCATTCGGTACGTTTCTTCTTATTTTTTTCATTAGGCTTAATCGATCACATTATAACCTCGAACCTGTGAATTTACCACTAGTATATTTAGTACATAACATTTTTTGACATCTATTAACGATCAACACAACTGAATAAAGAAAAAAATTAGTATTGAAGAAATCTATACTATAAAACTTGGCCAAATCTCTCCAGCTGATCGTCACATCATCACTGGAGAGAGCGCCACGTTGCAACTTAAACTTTAATAAAAAAAACGTTAATGTTTCGATTCGATTTCCCCCAAACGTCTTCTTCATCAAGCCAGAGGGAATGATTAAAAAGAAATCTCAGGAAATCTACGAACAGGCTCAAGAGCAGCAGCGGTGGCATCAATCTTCACCTTAGATCGCTTGGTGGGCCGTGGAGATGACGACGCTTCAGGAGAAGAAGAAGAACAGAAACACTTCGAAGCGGAAGAGCTACGTCTCGTCATGTCTCAGATGAATTAGTGGACGCAAAAAAAAAAAAAATTAATACTTACCTCGATTTCTTTGTGTGTGACGGTCATTGTTTGGCAATCAATCAGGTTATGTAAATTCCTTCGACGGATCTACTTTTCATTTCATATAGATTGATGATTAAAGTTTTTTTTGGTTTTTATAATACTTTTCTCTATTAGATTTCCGGTCAAGCTTGCGATCCTTCATTTCCAATTTCACCATGTAAGTTCGTTATTCTTCAAGCACTTCTCTAGATTCTGCGTTATAAATTATAATCCTATCAAGCACGGAAATTGGTAATAAATTACTTCTTCTCTCTTCTAATTATAGTCTGTGCTTGACATATTTATATTTCTCCGTTCATTACATCACTTACAATTTACTTCTTCTCTCTTCTAATATGTTAGACTTGAGCTATCCCCTGTAATTATCTGATAAAATAATGAGCTGACGAAGAACTATCTGAATCCTTACTCATAGTAAACTGAATTTTTCTCTTGACTAAGATGTACGATGACTTATTGCACACATCATTTTGTAGTTTGTTGAGTAGCTCTCTCCATTTTTGAAGGGTATATCTGTGTATGTTCGTCAGAGTTGCAGAATAAAAATGAGAATTCGAGCTTCATCCCTTTAACAGCACTACTTTGAGAACAGTGCGGTCTTTCATTGTTATGAAAATTTCATTGCTACTAGGCCATTATCTTAGGGTTTTTAAAAAATTGATGTTCCACCCTAATGGTTGCTGTAATTCCGATAATTACAAGGCAGATGTGGAAGTTGTTGATCCGAAAGAGTGCCTCGAGGAATCTTGCAAACCAAAATGTGTGAAGCCACTACTTGAATATCAGGTGAATCCGTTTACATTCAACTTCAGCTGGCTTTTGGTTATAACCTTGTATTGCAAAATATGAGTATGTTGACATCAAGAGGAGCGGTTTCTTCCGGCGCTTACACCACATGGTGTGGAGTGTGGTTTCAGACGAATAACATTTTGGTGTTGTGATTCAGGTGTGCGTCAAGAGAATCCAAGATGATGAGTCTGGCCACAAACATTGCGCGGCAGTATTTTGATTACTGGCATTGTGTTGACAAATGTGTAAGTGTTTGACTGGTTTTTTTTTTCTGTATACACCTAAAAATTTGAACTCTAAGATGACAATCGTATTGTTGATCTGCAGGTCGGACCTACGCTGTTTAAAAAAACTAGGCGGCGGTGGAACCGGCGGGGTCTTCGTCAGCGAGCGAGGTTCTGAACGAAAATCAAGGACCGGCTTCGGTTAAAGAAAAAGGCTTGCGCCTCAACTTAGATAACATTATATACTACCATATGTGTAGGATGTGTAGTCATTTCAAAAAGGCTCGCTTAAAGAAAAATCATCCATGAAATTCTTTTGCTTAAGATCAAAGAAAATTGCTTTCAGAAAAAGACGGCACTTACCTCGGTGTAGTTATCACGGGAAACAAAAGTAAGCAGTTAAATTTTTGGTGTTCTGCATTTTCAGCCAGACCTTGATTGATGTATGGATCTTTAATTGGGGGATCGATATATGTTGGAAGTACTTTAGTGGTTTAAGAATCTATTATATAATGGGAGAGTTTTCTCTCCTCTTAAGGTGTCCACATCAGCACTCTTTTTCTTATTAAAAACGTGAACAAAGCCTATTAAAAACAAAACTCTTAAAAACGTGAACAAAGTCTTTTTTTCTTGACCGCCTCCATCGTTTTCTTCAACCTAAACGTAAGCTCGTCAGGGAATGCTTATCGACTGTTGTTCAACGAATTCAAAGGTAATTAATTTTCAAAATAACTTCTTCCCCCACTATCTTCTAATATGATGTTAATCTTCAATTCCAAAACTCTTCGCCTTCCAATCATCCACCTCCTTCGTAGCCGTAACAGTAATCTCTCAGACTGTATATATAAATTAGCCCCTCTTCCCCACCTTAACCACAACTACACTGCTTCATCCTGTAAAAGAAACCCAATTCAAACTCCAAAATGGCTTCAATTGATTTTGTTGCAATCCCAGCTGCCGCTAACTATGTCACATTCGATGATTTACGCTTAGGTCGCTCTTCTCAGGAAATTGTTGGCCGCCTTCTCCGTTTCTGGGATGCGAAGAATATCAAAAAAGATGGGGAGTTCATGGGCATCGTCCTCCTCCTGTTGGATGAGAAGGTCGTATATGTCAAACATTATTAACTCATTCATGCATCTAATATTAAATTTTATATCACTGCTAATCATTTGTAATTATTTCTTCAGAACTCAGTCATACATGGATTCATACCAGCTGTCCGTGCAAGCCAATACCATCAGCAGTTACGAGAAGGCCTCATCGTCAAACTCACCGACTTTGAAGTGGGCCGATGCACAAACCTTTACAAAATCACAGACCACCCTTTTGTGATCCGTTTTCTACCTGGGACCACAATTTCCGACGTCTCAGATGTTGGGCGGTCAATTGCAAAAGAAAAATTCATGCTACGGAAGCTAGACCACCTCCAAGCTTTGGCAAACACCAATCTTGAACTTCCTGGTAAGGCCTACTACAAAATAATTTACAACATGTTACCAATCTCAAAATCACACATGTAAACACACATATTGTGCCCGTACAGATGTTGTTGGCCACATCCGTTTTGTTCAAGGCTCCAACCTAAGAGACGCTTCTTCCACGCAACGTCTGGTCGTCCGGTTCCAAATTGATTCGTAAAACATCTAACCACTTTTGAAATTATACATTTGATGTAAAGGAAATAGATCTGCAAACTGACATTTATAACCTTCGATGCAGATCTGTTACTGTATCTCTTTCACTCTGGGATGACACCGCTGCAACCTTTCGTGCACACCTTTCCTCTAAAAACAAGTTGTCCTCTGTCATGCTGGTCACTACGGTCAACCCGAAGCTCTTTGGAGGTAACCATTTAACCAAGCTAATACACTGAGATAGCTTTGTGGCTTGAAAATTTACTATCTCAACTTTTCTTTTACAATATTGATATGCTCTATATTAGCAGGAAACTTGTTCCTTAACTCCACTCCAGCAACAAAGTTTTACTTTGACCCAAAAATAGAAGCAATTCAAGAGTTTACCAAAAGGTTTGTCATTTCAAAGCTTATTGGAATGTTTACTCACATCTTAAACAAAGAAA